TATTTTGTATCATTTCAAAAGAAATATTATTTAGAACTTGTATTTGTCGTTCTTCCTCCATTGCTTCTATGCCATCATCATTATTATCACCAAATATTTCATCTATTTCGTCTTCTATTTGACTACTTAATTGTGGCAGTCCAGTATTTCTTCTTTCGGCATTGACCCAATCTCTAAACAACTAATGAATATCGATGATTTCCAATCATAAATCTTGTTGCGCTGAAGGCTTGCTTCGAAGCGACTGATGATGCTTGAATTGCTAGCACATCTTGAACAACCCTACCAAGGTTTGGAAATTGTTTTTCACGATTCTTCCACCATACATTAGTTGGGCCTGAGGTTGTCCTTGATCATTCCTAATCTTTTCCCGTGCCTGATTAAAATATAAATCAAAATCATTATTGATAGAGGATTCAAGACCAAAATAATCATCCATAAACTCATCTAAATCATCATTTTAGGCCTATGAGATGGAGATACAACTATTGGAACATTTTTTTTCTATAGCTTTATATGTATTATATAAATCTCTAGCTTTTGTTATTATGCTTCTTTTACAATCTTCAACTCTAGGAGTTTCATCAACTTTAATTTCTAAATTTGCATAAATTTTTTCAACCATTCTTTCAACACCTTTTAATTTAAGAATTTGGGTTGAATAAAGTAGCAATCAAATAGATTTGAGGAATAGGGAAAAAATATTTTTTGAATTTTTCAATCATAAAAATAAGTGATTCTTTAAACTGATCTTTTCCTTTATATTTTACAAATTCATATGAAATAGCACAAATATTTACTAAAACAAAAGAAATAGTTGGATAATATTGATCAGAAATAACATTTGTTGCTTTATAAGAAACACTTAAAAAATCAATAAGTTTTTTTGTATTTTCCCAATCTTCATACCTAATTCTTAAATTTTGGTAAGCATTATGAGCATTAAAAAACTAATTGTATCGGCTCTTGATAAACATAAGCAACTTCAAGCATTTCAAATAAAGAATCTCATCTAGTGCATACTTCTTTTAGAACTTTAAATTCTGTAATTCTAGCTTTTATTTTAGCTTTAAAAATTCAATTACAAGCAATTCTAATTTTTTCACAAGAAATTCCAATTTGAGAAATACCATCTTTAACTACCAAATTATAAACATGTGCAACACACTTATTGTCAATTGAACAAAGTCTAGATTTTAAATAATCAATTGCTTTTAAATTATTAGAAGCATTATCTAAAGTGACAATCATTATTTTATCACATATTCCATAAAATTGTAAAATAGTGCCTATTTTTAAGGCTATATAAGAACTAGTTTTAGTTTCTTCAACCTATTTATAGCCTAATATTCATTTTTGTATGTTCCATTCATGGTCAATCCAATGGACAGTAACAGTAAAATACTCATTACCATTAGGACTACGTCCCATATCTGAAGTAATAGATAATCTACCATCATAATAAACAAATAAACAACGAAAAAAATGACTTCTTTATTTTTTTAAACATATCACTTTTAATTGTCATTTTTTTAAAAAGTGATACAATTGTGTTCCAAGAAATACAATTAAAAATGATCTTTTTAAATATCATAAAGAATATTTTCATTCTCTTTGTTGTTTATTTGTTTATTATGATTGTAGATTATCTATTACTTCTGATATAGGACGTAGTTCTAATGGTAATGATTATTTTATTGTTACTGTCAATTGGATTGACCATGAATGAAACATGCAAAAATGAATATTGGGCTATAAATATGTTGAAGAAACTAAAATTTGTTCTTATACAACCTCAAAAATAGGCACTATTTTACAATTTTATGGATTATGTGATAAAATAATGAGCGTCATTTTAGATAATGTTTCTAATAATTTAAAAGCAATTGATTATTTAAAATCTAGACTGTCCAATTGATAATGATTCTTTTCATATTAAGTGTGTTGCACATGTTTATAATTTGGTAGTAAAAGATGGTATTTCTCAATTTGGAATTTCTTGTGAAAAAATTAGAATTGCTTGTAAATGAATTTTTAAAGCTAGAATTACAGAATTTTAAAATCGTTGTAATGAATGTGGACTTGTATATAGAAACGTTCCAAAAGAAGTATGCACTAGATGAAATTCTTTATTTGAAGTTGCTTATGTTTATTTAGAGCCGATACAATTAGTTTTTAATGCTCATAATGCGGACCCAAATTTCAGAATTGGCTATGAAGATTGGGAAAATACAAAATAATTTATTGGTTTTTTAAGTGTTTTTTATGAAGCAACAAATGCTATTTCTGCTCAATATTATCCAACTATTTCTTCCGTTTTTGTAAATATTTGTGCTAATTCATCTGAATTTGCAAAATATAAAGGAAAAGATCTGTTTAAAAAATCACTTGTTTTTATGATTCAAAAAATATTTTTTCCCAATTCCTTAAATCTATTTGACTGCTACTTTATTAAACCCATATACAAATTAAAAGGTGTTGAATTTTTTTATGCAAATTTAGAAATTAAAGTTTTGATTAAACTAGTGTTGAAGATTGTAAAAGAAGCATAATAACAAAAGCTAGAGATTTATATAATACATATAAAGCTATAGAAAAAAATGTTCCAATAGTTGTACATTCATCTCTTAGGCCTAAAAATGATGATTTAGATGATTATCTTGGTCTTTAATCCTCTACAGATAATGATTTTGATTTATATTTTAATTAAGCAGGGAAAAGATTAGGAATGATCAAGGACAACCTCAGGCTCAACTATTAGTATGGTGGAAGAATCATGAAAAATAATTTTCAAACCTTGGTAGGGTTGTTCGAGATGTGCTAGCGATTCAAGCATCATCGGTCGCTTCGGCGCAAGCCTTTAGCTCATCGAGATCTATGATTAGAGATCATCGATATTCATTAGCAAAGGATAGTTTGGAAATATCAGTGTTGTTTAGAAATTGGGTCAATGTCGAAAGAAGAAATACTGGACTACCACAATTAAGTAGCCGAATAGATGAAATATTTGGTGATAATGACATGGAAGCAATGGAGGAAGAACGACAAATACAAGTTCCAAATAATGTTTCTTTTAAAATGATACAAAATTTACGAAAAAAATTCAATTATTAGTTTAATATTCAATACCTAGTTCAAACAAAACTCTTCCTAGAAGATAGCTGCGTAAATTAGGTACTCTTTCTAGTTTTTTTATGTATTTATACAATTTATTTATTTGAATAAATATACGGCTATTTTCCTTGATTTTCTTTTAAAATAGTCTCTTATATTTAACGCAAGTCATTTTATAAATTAATTTTCAACTATTTTAATATTAGCTTAATATAAAATTGAATTTAAAATTTAAAGTTTACAAAATGTTTAACGTTTAAAGTTTTTTAAAAAGTTAAAGATTAAGTTAATAAATATTTAATAATTTAATTAAATGTTTTAATGAAAATTTAAATAATATAACTATATATTTATTTAATAATATTAAAATATAATAATTAATAATATATATTATATAATGTAAAAATTAATAAGTTATTAAAATTACTGAACGTCCGAACCGGTTGGACCCGGTTTCGGTATCGGTCCAAACCGGTAGCTATAGGACCGGGCCGGAACTTCCGAAAAGTTCCGGTAAACCCGGTTTCGGTAATTCCTCCCGTTAACGAGGACCGGTTCTGGTACTGGTAAAATTGGTCTTGTTCTGCCAGTTCGGTCCGGTTGCTAGCTTTAGTTCTCACAGGTGCATCTGCGCTGGAATTGGCAAGCTGCTGATCAATCATTGTACCATGACAATTGCAGCGCCAGTACTGAGGCAACTTTGCTTCTTTCAGGCTAGCATAGCTGGCGAGACGCCTCCTGTGGGATTCCAGTTCCTTTCACTGGTGTGCTTAGTGATTTTCAGCTTCAAATCCATCAAACTTGCTTTTTCTAAAGTATGTCTGCATACAAGAGAACTAGGGCCTAATATCCCCTCAATTAGCATAAAAACATGGCAAAAATTCATGAAGTTGAGTCCAATGAGTCGGTAAAATACCAACTCATCATTACCTTAAATAGCCCTTCGTCCCTAGAACTGGTTTTCCTGCTCCTGTCCTGTGGGTGAGCCTGGTTCTCATAAACAATTTGTCATTCATCAAAATGCTACACATGAATCAGGTATATAACCTAGGCTTCCTAACAGGTGATTTGAAATTTACCTTGTTGGGGAGTTGTGTGGAAGCTTTGTAAGGGCAGGGAATTAAAAATGGGGGTCTTGGGCCTCATTGAATGGTTTAAATACATGAGTGTGCACCTTTGGAAGAATTCAAATGACAAACTGTTTAAGTCGTTGAAAACTGGATTTCAAGGGTTAGAACTTCCCTTTAAAAGTGATGGATAAATTGTTGATCTACTGAGAGTTGCAAGGTTTTGAAGTTAAGACTTGTTTGAATTGTCAAAATCTGTACCCCTTGTGTTGTCTCCCAACTTTTCTTCTTCCTGAGAGTCCATTAATTGGTCAAATACCTTTATTTCAATCCCAACCTCCTCAGACACAAAATTTAATAGCCCGAACATCAAACCAAGTATTTAGATCCTTCTTGAGCCGTGGGTCTATCAAAAACCACCTCTTGATCTCCAATAGGTAGGGTATGATCCCCATACACACCTGACACTACCCTTCCTAGGCCTCACTTGTGGGATAACACTGGGTATGTTGTTGTAAACATCAAACCAAGCATTTCTCCCTTCCCATCATATAGTACGATTGATTTTTGCAACATATAAAGCATATAACTTAACTAAAACTCAATGAAATACGAGCATAACATATGTAGTTATTATTGCCTCTATGTAACATTAACTAAATTTCATCGATTACAAGAAATTATGAGTCTCTTGAGTCAACAAGTAGGTCCACCATGGTGCCTTTAAGATTTTCAATTATCATTGATATTGATCTTCAGTGACATTCTTTTTTCTCCTTCCCTCCCCCCATGTTCTAGTGAGAAGTGTTTCTTTTTTAGCAGAAACACTCAGCACGGGTGCATCTCAAGGCAAAGGAAACAAGAAAAGTCAGGACATGACACCGTCAACTTCTGTAAGTTTCATCCTCACTCAGAACTGTCTTAAATACCAGTTCTTGGTTCAAGTTCCAGTAAAATTTGTGTTCTTCTCATTTTTGTGAATGGGAACCTTGAGAAAACATCTAGTAGCATATTTTGGTATATGGGGATTTTAAAGTCTAAAATTCTTGCCTAAACTTCAGAAATGGCTCTTTTGAATGAAAAATAGCAGAAATGCTATGTAATATTTTCTTATAAGATGTGCTAAGAAGGTAATCAAAGTGCAAGGGAAGGAGCTGCTCTTATGATAGTTTCCAAGTCAAGTAAAACTTTTTCTAAAATAAAAAAGAAAACAAGTCAAAACTCACCCAGATTCTGGGAGTGAACATCTTCTACCTCTGAAGGTTATTGATTTGAAGTTGTGCCTCCTATTCTAATAGAAGGTGTGGGTCTTCCACAAGTGGATAACAGGAAGGGGCAAAAACACAGATGCAACAACTAATTCATAAATCTTGTCCTTTCAAGTTTTCCATTTGCGTTGTGTTACCATTATGATATATTGATATCCTTTTTTGCTGTCTTATGATACAGAAATTATGTTGGTTTAACTTTTCTGCTAAGTCTTGCTTCATAATTTATTCTTTCTGCTTTTAACAAAATTGAATGACATCTCAGAGAAAATGAGAAGTAGACGAATTGGACAATGCACGTCTTTAGTGGCTTGGAATCATGACTACATGTTATTGCTATATTTAATCTTCTAGTAGTTTGCAATATTATTCTGTAACTTTGCAATTGTTGACATTCCATTCAGGCAGTAGCTTTAGCAGGGGAATATGCACCTAGCGGACGTCGGGTGAAGGTAATGCAAGCGCTTGGTTTGATGGCTCCTCCTGGATCACCATTTCATCCAAAGTGATGCGCCTGTAGTCCATCTGCTGATAATGCTATGAAATAAAACTCTCACGAGGCATAGTATTGCTGGTACTAACAGCTAGATATAATATTAAATGTTCCAGGAAAGTTTTCGTCCAAAAGTAATGTGTCTCAATGATCAGTTGTCTGTAGTCTACTTGTTGATGATGCTTGAAGTAAATATGTACGACTGATTTGTCAATCACAATTATGTTTGGGATTGAGATAGTGATTATTGTTGATGCTAACATCTGGAATATGACATATACAGTATTCTGAGATAGTTTTAATCTCAAGTGACATTCTGGTGACTGACATACTGTCTATGGTCTATTTGTGACTAGACCCGCTGCTCAATCTAATTGGCATAATACATATATTTGACCCTAAACTTTGGCTTCAAATTTTAACTTTGACCTCCAACTTTCATAGTGCACAAACATGCACTTTAACTATCCAACTTTTAAATAAATAAACACGCGAGTCCTAGCTGGCAAAACGCGTGATGTACACTTATTTTGTGCGCGTTAGGAGTAATTTTCAAGGCCCACAAAAGTAAAAAAAAATGTTGAAATGACAACTCTACCCTTATGATCCCTATTATATATATCTTTATATTTCCATATCAAAATCTCATTTTCTTTCCTCCTCTTCCAAACTTAGATTTTTTCCTCTCTTTAGAACTATTTCTGCTCATATTTAGTGCAAATGGCTTCTATTTTTTTTTTTGTCATTGTGGAAAAAGAGCTATAATGAAAATTTCTTGGTCTGCAAACAATTTAGGTCGTTGGTTTTTTAAGACATCTTTTTTTTGTTTAAATTTTAGTTCTCAAGATTCAATGTTGATAATGAATTTGTTCTTTCTTAAATAGGTTGGATGCAAGTTTTTTAGGTGGTGTGAACTTGATTATACTGAACACACTAAAATTGCTATTTTGGGATTACAAAAGAGGATAAAAAAATATGACGAAGAAAAGGAAAAGATTAGGAGGAATTAATTTTGATTCTTGTATATGAATTAAAATTAATTTTGATTTTTTTTAGTTCTAAAATCGACGTGTAAAATATTTAATTAGTTGGCAGCCATGAGTGGCTCACTAATATATGTTGTATCGTTTGCATTTCACGCTCTTTGGCTGCAAAAATCGTGTGTTTATTTATTTAAAAGTTGGATAGTTAAAGTGTTTGTTTGTGCACTATGAAAGTTGGAGATTAAAGTTAAAATTTGAAGTCAAGTTTAGAGTCCAATATATGTATTATGCCATCTATGAACTTGAACATATTTGAGCATTATATGTTTGAGATTGAGGCATAGTCGTACTGGGGTCAAACCCCTTGGATTTTTTTAGTTCTTGGCTTATATTCACACTTGAGAGAAAGTATTGGAGAAGAACATTATTGAATTGTGTATCTACATTATTACATTGAGACCCTATTTATACACACTTACATTAGACTCCTTTTCCAACTAGGACACTACATTACAATCTCTTTTCAAGTAGAATTCTATATACTATTTCTATTCTTATTCACATTCTTATTCTAAGTGAGATTGTATATACTATTCTTGCTCTTATTCCTCTTCCTATTCTGAAACTCCCCTTCAAGTTGGTGCATACAAGTCATATGTACTTAGCTTGTTACAAATGTAATTAATACGATGATCGGTGAATATATTTTTAAGCTGATGAATCGACTTCACAATCTTTTTAACAATATCTCTCGAAAGTATCTTTTCTTTGACAAAGATACAATCATTTTCAATGTGCTTAATTTTCTCATGAAATAGTGGATTTGATGCAGAATATTGATACGACACATAATGATCATCTCCACTATGAGTCATGTTGAACCCATGAATGATTGTGTTGAACTTCCCAAACTAAGCTCGAGAAGTTTAACACCTTCCTTCACGCCGAGGCTTAACTAGAGCATGTACCAAAATCCAAATGAAAAAAGACCTGACTCTGATACCATGTAAAAATATGGCGCCTAAATCTAACTTAACCCTAAAAGTTAGCTTATTAGGGGAGGATTTCCCCAAGTCCATATCAGCAGACTATCAGTTCATTCCCCAACCAATGTTGGACTTTAATACACTCTAACCAATTATCTTTCCCACAAAGTTTTTTTTTAAACGGGTAAATGTGTATTCCTCAACATTGAGGACAAGAATTAGCCATTATCTTGCTTTTCAGACTGTTGAAGATATATTGTCACTCTCAGTTAATCTTTTGAAACTTTGACAGTTCAAGGAGTTAAAGGACGAGTATTAGTATTGGATATCATTTGTGAGATGGTTGAGTTGCGCCATCTACACATATATGATCAAACATTCTTCACTTCGAACAATGGAAAAGAATTATAAAAAATCTTTTACAATGGATGATCTGCAAACTATTTCCTCAGTTTGTTTTTCTTATGTGAAGAATGTTGGTAAGATTTTCGAGAAGAATATTTCAGATCATAGAGTGACTTGAACAATTGATATACAAGCTACTAGACTCTCCTTGAGCAGTAAAATTAGGTGGTTACTTCATATGAACTTCCTCAAGATCATCATAGAGAGATTGGAGAAAAATATTCTTAATGTCTAACTGATTAAAAGACCAATGATAAACGACAACTATAAATAGAAAAGATGGACATCTATTATTTTAGCCATGAGAGAGAAAATATCAGTGTAATCCAACCTAAATATCTGGGTATACCCTTATATTGAAAAAAGTAAATCTAAAACAGAGAGATAACAATATTGGAAAACTCAAAAATGCTAGAAACAATGCAATGATCGTTGGAAAGTGCTTGAAACATCATAAAATGAAGAGACTAGTCAATATTGAGCAAGAAATTCATTGAAAAATTGGTCGGACAGACTTACACACCGCTACGATTTTTGAAACTCTAAATCTAGCCACATGTGAGGGATTCGATCGGCGACGCTGGTTGAGCTTCGGTCGCCAGAGGTTGCTGGACCATGAGGTGGTATTGAATTTTGCACAACATCGACAAAAAATTAAAATATGTAAGTCATATCTGAGGAGTTACCGAAAAGAAACACATACTACGAAAATCATATATGAAAAAGTAGTTTGTAAAGATACACGAAGCTACACAAATTAGATATGAGAAAGTAGTCACCGAAAAGATGCATGACGCTATGCAAATCAAATATGAAAAAATAGTCACCGAAAAGATGCACAGTGCTACACAAATCAGATCTAAAACAGTAGTCACTACAAAGATGCACATTGCTACGCCAATTGGATATGAAAAAATAGTCGACGGAAAGATGCATGGTGCTACACAAATCAGACATGAGAAAGTAGACGCCGGTATGATGCATGGTGCTACTTTCTTTGTCCCAGATGATTCTCAATTAGTTCTTCTCGGCATGATTACTTTTCTTGCACATAGTATTGCCCCAGTTTTTGCTAACATAATCATTGGCTTGATGGATAGCTATATAAGTTATACTCGCCTGCCGGCTGCAAAAGCTTTTTTTTTATTCTCTATCAAGATCGTAGAGGCTCCGATACCATGTGAGAAAATATTGGAGAAAAATCTTATTAAATTGTGTATATATATTATTATATTGTGACCCTATTTTTAGATATTACATTAGACTTCTTTTCCAACTAGGACACTACATTATAATTCTTTTTCAGGCATGATTCTATATAATATTTTTTTTCCTATTCCTACTTTAAGTGAGATTGTATATACTATTTTTTTTTCCGATACACTTAAATATTCATATGCTTGTCTGATATATACCTTATTTCCCTATTGCTTATTTTGTTATGAAGATTAGGTGATTGATTAGCTGATTAGTTATAAGCACATGATAAGTTGGCATGTTAGTGTGGAAATTAGTTAGGGGTGAAGGATAACACCAAATAGTCATGAAATTAAATGATAGTGCCACTTGTTTTATAGGTTGGTTGGCAAATCCGGAATAACTTATCTTGGGATTAATAATTAGTACCGGGATAAGTTATCACTCACTTGGGTGGTATAGTAATTTCGGGATAACTTATCTCAAGATAAAATAACTAAATGACAAAAATATCCTTTTAAACTCATTTTATACATCACTTTTCACATTCATGAAGGATATTTATGTAAACAAATAAACAGTTCTTAAAATTTTATTATTTTGAATACAACAAATCAAACACTTAATAAAAAATAATCTTAACATAATTTATTTCATCATAACTAATCTCATTATAACTTGAATTCAAACCAAACAACTCCTTAGGAAATTAGTCTAGTCATGTATGCGTTGTGCACGTGATTCCAAGACCTCAAACTCTGTTTTCTCCTTTGTTAGTTGAAACTAGCAGCAATTGCAATCACTTTTTAGATTTGAAGAATCAATATAACTCTTTTTTTCCCTCTAAGTTCCTCCATAGCTTTTGTGGTCAGGTGAACTGTTATAGGGTAATTTTTTTAAATTTACCCTTTAAGAACATTCAATCTTTTCATAATTGCACTGTGAATTTCAGTGATTCGCATCACCAGTATTAGAGCAAGCCTTTTCTCGAACCATAGAAATGGAAGATCATAACACAAAGATGCAAAAATTGCATAAAGAAGTCACAATCTCAAAAGATCCATGTATAATGTAGTCAATCCTGTCTTGGATCTACGACAGATGATGGATGTCATGGTCGCGCAGACAATAGATGAGATCAAGAGGATGTTAATGAGTAATGTAGCCCTAGAAGGAGAAGCACAATCATCTGGAGTGGCAGTTAGGGATAGAACTCCAACATTTGTTCCTGTTAGGCATGAATAATACCAATTTCCCACTCGTGGTTATCAGATTGAATCCTCAAGATTTGATGGTGAGGCACAATAGACACATAAATTTTATTGAATTAAATTTATACGAAATTTGAATTAAATTCATATTTATTTAAATTGGACTATACAAATAAATAAGTCTATTTTTATTAAAATTCAAGTCCAAGGTCTTTTTCACATTGAAGCCCAAACACATGCCACATATCAAATGACTAGGCATCCAAGACCAACAAGGTGACGCCATGTGTCCAAAAGGCCTGGTAGTTCCAGTCAAATTCAAGAACAAATCACAATCCGCCAAGTATCAAAATGACATTTTTTAGCCAATCATAAACAATCTTGTCCACCTCCTACAACTATAAATAGGGGATAGACTTGACATTCAAATAGGGGTGTCAAAAATGAACCCAAACATAGGTAACCCGCCCATAATTTTAAGGATTGGGCTCAAGATAATTTGAATTGGGTTGAATCTCAAGCCATTCAAGTCTAACCCATT